TAACTGAAAACTCACACCCCAGAAGTGACTCGAACCCATACTGCCAGGAGCAATGCAACTGGTATGTACAGGACGCCTTAATCCGCTTGACCATCACGACCGGACATAAGGAAGTGATAGCCGAAGCTATTGAACCATTTCCCCGCCGGCACTCGGATGGTAATCTTGGGCATAGCTTTTTATCAAATCACCTCATTGAGGTAATTGAATGAGGTTGAATGAATGAATCAAGGTAAGGTAAGGTGAGAGATGAAATTCTTCAAGAGTCAGAGAAAGAAAAAGACTTGGGGGTTGATATCACGCCAGACCTGTCTCCTGCAGCCCATATCAAGAGGATAACATCAGCGGCATGTGTCAGGCTGGCCAACATAAGAACGGCATTCAGAAACTTGTGTAAAGAATCATTCAGAACTTTGTATACCACATATGTCAGACCAATCCTGGAGTATGCAGGCCCAGCATGGAGTCCATATCTAGTCAAGGATAAGACAAAACTGGAAAAGGTTCATAGGTTTGCCACCAGACTAGTACCCGAGCTGAGAGGTATGAGCTACGAGGAGAGACTACGGGAATTAAACCTCACTTCGTTGGAAGACAGAAGAGTTAGGGGGGACATGATCACCACATTCAAGATCCTCAAGGGAATTGACAGGGTTGATAAAGACAGGCTGTTTAACACAAGGGGCACACGCACTAGGGGACACAGGTGGAAACTGAGTGCCCAAATGAGCCACAGAGATATTAGAAAGAACTTTTTTAGTGTCAGAGTGGTTGACAAATGGAATGCATTAGGAAGTGATGTGGTGGAGGCTGACTCCATACACAGTTTCAAGTGTAGATACGATAGAGCCCAATAGGCTCAGGAACCTGTACACCTGTTGATTGACGGTTGAGAGGCGGGACCAAAGAGCCAGAGCTCAACCCCCGCAAGCACAATTAGGTGAGTACACACACACACATTCATCTTGATCAATTATACTGTTATTCCCAGATACAAAGAGCTCTGTGGATGCATTGTAGTGGACAGGTGGTAATGGTCATGCTCCGTGCTTCTCCCCCCCGCCACACTCCTTTACATCACACACACCTGAAGTCAACCAATTAAAATTCCCATCACATGTTGGCTGCCTCCGCTAACACCGCGCACAACGCCGTAACAGATCAAATAATCTTAACGCTTCGTGAAAACCCCGCCCCACAACATGTGAAATTTCCAAATTTGGTGGCATCCATCTTCATTACACACCTGCGTGAGTGAGACATTTTCCAATTTGACAATTGAAATAGATTTAGCGTGATTTAGATTAAGAGAGACGGAACGTATTACTCTTATTGGCGGATTACACACTCGGTCTCTTTGATGCAGGGATGTCTGGTCCTCTGAGCCGGGATTTATGAAGCACTTACGTGTTCTCTTGCGAGATCTAGACATCTTACGTGTCCACTTACGAGATCTGGACATCTTACGTGTCCAGTTACGAGACTTGGACATCTTACGTGTCTACTTATGAGACCTGGACATCTTACCTGTCCACTTACGAGACCTAGACATTTTACGTGTCCACTTACAAGACCTGGACATCTTACGTGTTCGCTTACGAGACCTGGATATCTTACGTGTCCACTTACGAGACCTGGCCATCTTACGTGTCCACTTACGAGACCTGTACATCTTACCTGTCCACTTACGAGACCTGTACATCTTACCTGTCCACTTACGAGACCTGGACATCTTACCTGTCCACTTACGAGACCTGCACATCTTACCTGTCCACTTACGAGACCTGGACATCTTACCTGTCCACTTACGAGACCTGCACATCTTACTAGTGGACACGTAAAAAGTCAATACCCTCAATACAGGTAAAATGTAAAACACGACAATGGAAAACATGATAAAAGTCACGGGCAGATCCGATCACTATTGCAAGTCAAACACTTCTCTGAATTCCTCCGAAGTGGGACTCGAGCCCAAGACGCAACAGGCATTCCCCCTCTGAATCGCGACACTGAGGCGCTGGAACAAGAAACTTTTCGCTCTCTGGTCTTTTGTAGAGCCGATCAATTTGTCTCCCAATTCCTTCAGGAACTTCAATGCACATTTTCCCAGACCTCTGTATTTAATAGTTATATATATATATATATATATATATATATATATATATATATATATATATATATATATATATATATATATATATATATATATATATATATATATATATATATATATATATATATATATATATATATATATATATATATATATATATATATATATATATATATATATATATATATACTAATTTCAGTTAAAGCTAATGTAGAAATATGACCCAAACTATCCTAACCTACCTAACCTAACCTAACCTAGTACACTAACCTCTCCTCCTGTTTAGATAATACTTTATGTGACTATGTCGACCATAATACATATATATATTGACGTAATGGACAATTAGATAGTAAAATTTGGTACTATTATATTTATAAAGCCCGAAAAAATATATAGCTAAAAGCTAAACCTAAATATTCCTAGGCCTGGTATAGCGCATATATGTACTATATTGTACCCTAGATAGCGGGTATTAGGGTTAGGTTAGGTTAGGTCAGGTTAGGTTAGGTTAGGATTTATAAGCACCATAAATACAAGACCTTTTCCGGTTTGTCCGAATTCTATAGTACCAAGTTCGACTTTCTAATCATCCCCCCTACGTCAATATATGTACGGTGGTACACATCGTTACTACATATGCTACCTTAACAGGAGGATGAGCTGTATACACAGGTATCGTGTGACGTAGTTACCTGTTACTCCCTGTACCTTATACTCCCGTTACCTTATACTCTTAGTCACCCTATACTCCTATACTCCAGGCACCTCATATACTAGTAAATCTTTATATAATCTCTGGTGAAGGTTCTATCCTGTGTGTGTGAGCAAGGTAGAAGAGAAGCAACGTGTTAATCATTGTAAAAAATAGCCAGCAATAGATGTGTAATAGACTGTAGAGGAGGAGGGCGGTCGACCCCCCTTCAGGTGTAATAGACTGTAGAGGAGGGTGGTCGACCCCCTTCAGGTTAATAGACTATAGAGGAAGGTGGTCGATCCCACTTCAGGTGCAATAGACTGTAGAGGAGGAGGGCGGTCGACCCCCCTTCAGGTGCAATAGACTATAGAAGAGGGCGGTCGACCCTCTTCAGGTGTAATAGACTATAGAGTTGGAGGGTGATCGACCCCCCCTTCAGGTGTAATAGACTATAGAGGAGGAGGGCGGTCGACCCCCCCCTTCAGGTGTAATAGACTATAGAGGAGGAGGGTGATCGACCCCCCCTTCAGGTGTAATAGACTATAGAGGAGGAGGGCGGTCGACCCCCCTTCAGGTGTAATAGACTGTAGAGGAGGGTGGTCGACCCCCTTCAGGTTAATAGACTATAGAGGAAGGTGGTCGATCCCACTTCAGGTGCAATAGACTATAGAGGAGGAGGGTGGTCGACCCCCCCTTCAGGTGCAATAGACTATAGAGGAGGGCGGTCGACCCCCTTTAGGTGTAATAGACTATAGAGGAGGAGGGCGGTCGACACCCCTTCAGGTGTAATAGACTATAGAGGAGGAGGGTGGTCGACCCCCCCTTCAGGTGCAATAGACTATAGAGGAGGGCGGTCGACCCCCTTCAGGTGCAATAGAGTATAGAGGAGGCTGTAAGCTGGTCGATCCCCCCTTCAGGTGCAATAGACTACAGAGGAGGCTGTAAGCTGGTCGACCCCCCTTCAGGTGCAATAGACTACAGAGGAGGCTGTAAGCTGGTCGATCCCCCTTCAGGTGCAATAGACTACAGAGGAGGCTGTAAGCTGGTCGACCCCCCTTCAGGTGCAATAGACTATAGAGGAGGCTGTAAGCTGGTCGACCCCCTTTCAGGTGCAATAGACTACAGAGGAGGCTGTAAGCTGGTCGACCCCCCTTCAGGTGCAATAGACTATAGAGGAGGCTGTAAGCTGGTCGACCCCCCTTCAGGTGCAATAGACTACAGAGGAGGCTGTAAGCTGGTCGACCCCCCTTCAGGTGCAATTGACTATAGAGGAGGCTGTAAGCTGGTCGACCCCCCTTCAGGTGCAATAGACTACAGAGGAGGCTGTAAGCTGGTCGACCCCCCTTCAGGTGCAATAGACTACAGAGGAGGCTGTAAGCTGGTCGACCCCCCTTCAGGTGCAATAGACTATAGAGGAGGCTGTAAGCTGGTCGACCCCCCTTCAGGTGCAATAGACTACAGAGGAGGCTGTAAGCTGGTCGACCCCCCTTCAGGTGCAATAGACTATAGAGGAGGCTGTAAGCTGGTCGACCCCCCTTCAGGTGCAATAGACTATAGAGGAGGCTGTAAGCTGGTCGACCCCCCTTCAGGTGCAATAGACTATAGAGGATGCTGTAAGCTGGTCGACCCCCCTTCAGGTGCAATAGACTATAGAGGATGCTGTAAGCTGGTCGACCCCCCTTCAGGTGCAATAGACTATAGAGGATGCTGTAAGCTGGTCGACCCCCCTTCAGGTGCAATAGACTATAGAGGATGCTGTAAGCTGGTCGACCCCCCTTCAGGTGCAATAGACTATAGAGGATGCTGTAAGCTGGTCGACCCCCCTTCAGGTGCAATAGACTATAGAGGATGCTGTAAGCTGGTCGACCCCCCTTCAGGTGCAATAGACTATAGAGGATGCTGTAAGCTGGTCGACCCCCCTTCAGGTGCAATAGACTATAGAGGATGCTGTAAGCTGGTCGACCCCCCTTCAGGTGCAATAGACTATAGAGGATGCTGTAAGCTGGTCGACCCCCCTTCAGGTGCAATAGACTATAGAGGATGCTGTAAGCTGGTCGACCCCCCTTCAGGTGCAATAGACTATAGAGGATGCTGTAAGCTGGTCGACCCCAGCTAACAGCAACAGTATTCACCTAATGTACTCACCTAATAAGTCCGACAGCTTGAGTGTCTTCCAATTCTTCTTCTTCCTCAGACGATGAAGCAAAAGTTACCTTGATTGTTGCCTGGATTGTTGCCTGGATTGTTGCCTGGATTGTTGCCTGGATTGTTGCCTGGATTGTTGCCTTGATTGTTGCCTGGATTGTTGCCTGGATTGTTGCCTGGATTGTTGCCTTGATTGTTGCCTGGATTGTTGCCTGGATTGTTGCCTGGATTGTTGCCTGGATTGTTGCCTTGATTGTTGCCTGGATTGTTGCCTGGATTGTTGCCTTGATTGTTGCCTGGATTGTTGCCTGGATTGTTGCCTTGATTGTTGCCTAGATTCTTACTTGGATTGTTACCTTGATTGTTGCCTGGATTGTTGCCTGGATTGTTGCCTTGATTGTTGCCTGGATTGTTGCCTGGATTGTTGCCTTGATTGTTACTTGGATTGTTGCCTTGATTGTTGCCTTGATTGTTACTTTCATTGTTGCCTGGATTGTTGCCTTGATTGTTGCCTTGATTGTTACTTTCATTGTTGCCTTGATTGTTGCCTTGATTGTTGCCTAGATTCTTACTTGGATTGTTGCCTTGATTGTTGCCTTGATTGTTACTTTCATTGTTGCCTGGATTGTTGCCTTGATTGTTGCCTTGATTGTTACTTTCATTGTTGCCTTGATTGTTGCCTTGATTGTTGCCTAGATTCTTACTTGGATTGTTACCTTGATTGTTACCTTGATTGTTGCCTGGATTGTTGCCTGGATTGTTGCCTTGATTGTTGCCTGGATTGTTGCCTTGATTGTTGCCTAGATTCTTACTTGGATTGTTGCCTTGATTGTTGCCTTGATTGTTGCCTGGATTGTTGCCTTGATTGTTGCCTTGATTGTTACTTTCATTGTTGCCTTGATTGTTGCCTTGATTGTTGCCTAGATTCTTACTTGGATTGTTACCTTGATTGTTACCTTGATTGTTGCCTGGATTGTTGCCTGGATTGTTGCCTGGATTGTTGCCTTGATTGTTGCCTGGATTGTTGCCTTGATTGTTGCCTAGATTCTTACTTGGATTGTTGCCTTGATTGTTGCCTTGATTGTTGCCTGGATTGTTGCCTTGATTGTTACTTTCATTGTTGCCTTGATTGTTGCCTTGATTGTTGCCTAGATTCTTACTTGGATTGTTACCTTGATTGTTACCTTGATTGTTGCCTGGATTGTTGCCTTGATTGTTGCCTGGATTGTTGCCTGGATTGTTGCCTTGATTGTTGCCTTGATTGTTGCCTGGATTGTTGCCTGGATTGTTGCCTTGATTGTTGCCTGGATTGTTGCCTTGATTGTTGCCTTGACTGTTACCTGGATTGTTGCCTTGATTGTTGCCTTGATTGTTGCCTTGACTGTTACCTGGATTGTTGCCTAGATTCTTACTTGGATTGTTACCTTGATTGTTGCCTTGATTGTTGCCTTGATTGTTGCCTTGATTGTTACCTTGATTGTTACCTTGATTGTTACCTGGATTGTTGCCTGGATTGTTGCCTTGATTGTTGCCTTGACTGTTACCTGGATTGTTGCCTAGATTCTTACTTGGATTGTTACCTTGATTGTTGCCTTGATTGTTGCCTTGATTGTTACCTTGACTGTTACCTTGACTGTTGCCTTGATTGTTACCTTGATTGTTACCTGGATTGTTACCTGGATTGTTACCTTGATTGTTACCTGGATTGTTACCTTGATTGTTACCTGGATTGTTACCTGGATTGTTACCTTGATTGTTACCTGGATTGTTACCTGGATTGTTACCTTGATTGTTACCTGGATTGTTACCTTGACACCCTTGAAGGAACCAGAAATAATAATGGGTAGCTTCTACGTCCTCTTCACTTGTGTGTGTGTGAATTTTGATATTAGAATTTTGAATTTGAACTTTGAATTGTCCGTCGGTTAGAAAGATGGTGACATTACTTGCTGAACTTCTCGGGTGTTCACTGTTCACCAGTCTCGGTCACACTTCAATTGGGTCGTTAGGAATTAAATGACAATATTTAATAGTGATATATGTCTCTGTTTTTTTCCACTTTACCTTGTAAAGATAACTTACAATTTTAGAATTTGTTTAAGCTTTCTTAGACAAATTAGCTTGAGTCTTGTAGGTTGGTATACGCTTTGGGTGAGTTTCAAGTCTCATCACATGTGACAGACCTCGAGAGTGGAAGCGGACTCGGGAATTCTAATTCAAATGTTGTGTTTATTAACGTCGATTTAGTACATTTATAGTTTAGTTTACACAAGTTTATAATTAATTATTTACAGAAACTCATAATAATAACAACATAACATTAATATCTGTCGATGATAATGCAATTTAAAGGACTAATATAATTTATCATTCAGTGAATTTATGCAAAACGATTTTCACACTGTCAGCACTCTCTATCAACGGATACTAGGGCTGCCCCGGGGTCAAAATTCCTCCCAACACACTGTTCATGCAACACAATTCTGACTACCATAGAACTCAAAATGCTTGTCGGTATAAGCCGTCTCTTTGTAAACAGTTGTTGCTTCAACATTCCAATTATCCAACTAAAGGCTGGGGAGGTCTCTCTCTCTCTTTCTCCCTGCTTTCTCTGCTGAACACTTGTATTATACCATCCTGTATACTTGCTATACTTTTATATATATATATATATATCACTCATTCTTAAGTTGTATTTCTTGACAATTAAGTTTATATTTTTTTGGAGAAGTTTGAGTGGCCAGTGACAACGTGAGTGCCTGAAAATAGACTTCGAGGTTGCTGGATGGGAGTCGAATCCCTTCAGACAAGAGGGGCACCATTCGTTTGTGAACTTTGTAAACTTTGTGAACTTTGTCCTCAAGTGTGGGGTGGTGGACGTGGCATTGGGTGCGACGATGAACACCCAAGATTGGTCATGAACATTTCCTCCATTCGCAGTTCAGCTTAACCAAGATTAGCATTTTGAAGGGCTCATAGTTCACATCCATACAGGCTTACACATTCACTGTCCAACCTGTCCTCTTAAAAATAATTTCTCTTTTGGCCGTTTACCTGTATAGCCGAAAGTGGACGTAATTTGAAAATGAAAAAAAAAATAAAATAAATTTTGGATTTTTTTCAACAACAGTAAGTTAAGTGTCCTCTGATAGGTTAGGTGGGCAGGAAATTCTCATAAAGTTTGAAAACGTTATGAAAAACGTTAGTTAAAAGTTTCCTCTTCTAACCTTACCGAGTAAGCCGGACGACTCAAACAGAAAACGGAACAGTACGTCACTTTTGTGAGTCGATTTCATTTCAAATTACGTCCAAATTTGGCCATAGCGCGCATACGAGCCAAAAGTGACGTTATTTTTAAGAGGACGGGTTGCTCTGTCACATAACTTTACTTTCGATCACGTATCAAGGTGACCGAATTTACTCATAATGACGTTTGTTCTGACTTTTAGGTCTCTTAAGAGCATCAGAAAAATTGACAAGGGGGCGCCGTGGAGGAACTGACGTGCCTCAGATGCTTTTCAGAATAATTTTACAGGAATCTCTCGACCTAGGCATTATAATTTGCGATCAATATAAAACGAATCCCTGTGAATTTAAGGGAACTTCAGCACATTTTGTAGGATTGAACGTAAGGTTGTATTCTACGCTATAGCTTTCACACATTCCTTGGAAGGCTTCCATAGCAGCTTATTTGCATAATTGCTTAGAAATATACAGATCTAGCAATAACAGGACGTACTTTGTTGACCAGACCACACACTAGAAGGTGAAGAGACGACGACGTTTCGGTCCGTCCTGGACCATTCTCAAGTCGACTTGAGAATGGTCCAGGACGGACCGAAACGTCGTCGTCCCTTCACCTTCTAGTGTGTGGTCTGGTCAACATACTTTAGCCACGTTATTGTGACTCATCGCCTGCATAAGGACGTACTTTTCTGTTAAGCAATGCTCTTAAAAAAAGTAGCATGAGTTACACTTTGTCAAAAACTTTAGGAGCATCAAGAGACAAAGAGAGAAGAGAACTACCTCGTGAGATGCAGTACTGAGTGGCTTCCACCAACACGAAACACAAAGCTTGTTTAGTAACCAAATTTGTATGCAAACTGAAGATCAGAGGCGGCCAGTTAGTCAGCTAGAGAGTCAGTGAGTCTGTTATCAAATTGTTTAATCCTTAGGGCAATAGTTCTGTGAGTTTTCAGAGGGAAAAGAATTCTTGGAGGAATTAAACGATAAATATGAATCACCTGAAGCATCGTCATCCCCTGGGGAAGGCCACCTGCCCCTGGGTGACCCACAGGTACACGTCACGTGGTAAACAAAGCCAGGGAGGGCAGTGGAGTGTGTGAAGACAAGGGGGGAGAAGAGAGTGTATCATTGAACACGTCGGTCATTCACGCCGAAGCTCGTATAAACGAGACCTTAGTCACGGTGAAGCTCTCAGCTTTCGTACCTCTTTCGCTGCTGCTCCTTCCTGGGGGTTGCTGCTCCTTGATGAGGTTGCTTGATGCTGCCCACTAATTCATCATTTCTTCATTGTCAAAATTTGCTACGGCTGTATTACTCAACTCCCCAGAGTGTAGGTGATAGTAGACAGGCTGCCAGAAAATGCGTTTTCCAGCACCTATTATGTATGTCTGGCTGGGAGACACGCTCCCACCTGTGTCTGGCTGGGAGACACGCTCCCACCTGTGTCTGGCTGGGAGACACGCTCCCACCTGTGTCTGACTGGGAGACACGCTCCCACCTGTGTCTGGCTGGGAGACACGCTCCCACCTGTGTCTTGCTGGGAGACACGCTCCCACCTGTGTCTGACTGGGAGACACGCTCCCACCTTTGTCTGGCTGGGACACACGCTCCCACCTGTGTCTGACTGGGAGACACGCTCCCACCTGTGTCTGGCTGGGAGACACGCTCCCACCTGTGTCTGGCTGGGAGACACGCTCCCACCTGTGTCTGGCTGGGAGACACGCTCCCACCTGCGTCTGACTGGGAGACACACTCCCACCTGTGTCTGGCTGGGAGACACGCTCCCACCTGTGTCTGACTGGGAGACACGCTCCCACCTGTGTCTGGCTGGGAGACACGCGCCCACCTGTGTCTGACTGGGAGACACGCTCCCACCTGTGTCTGACTGGGAGACACGCTCCCACCTGCGTCTGACCGAGAGACAAGCCGCTGGGGTTATTAAGTGTTCCAACAATTTATACCGTGACCCCCGTGAAGAGTGAGGTGGTGAAGAGCGCATTGCGAAAGTCTTAGACAGGGCATAAATCCTGGGAGGAGGTTGTAATGTCGGCTTCGGGATGGTGGCTACGAGGAGGGGGGGGGGGATGGGGGGTGGGGTGGCTGTTAATGGGAGAAGGGGGGGAAGGAAGGGGTGGGAAGGGGAAATAGGCGGCGAGCAACATCATGGGGGAATGCAACTTGCCGCCCATTCCTCTAAGCGAGTATCCCACTGTGGGCTAATGATGGAACAGATGGCATCTCGAATCTCTATATTGTGACCCCTAAAGATTCTGATAAGATGCAGCTTTCCAGGGGGGGGGGGCCACATGCGCTCAACTGAGTGTTTATGTATGTACTCACCTAGTTGTACTCACCTAGTTGTGTTTGCGGGGGTTGAGCTCTGGCTCTTTGGTCCCGCCTCTCAACCGTCAATCAACAGGTGTACAGATTCCTGAGCCTATCGGGCTCTGTCATATCTACACTTGAAACTGTGTATGGAGTCAGCCTCCACCACATCACCCCCTAATGCATTCCATTTGTCAACCACTCTGACACTAAAAAAGTTCTTTCTAATATCTCTGTGGCTCATTTGGGCACTCAGTTTCCACCTGTGTCCCCTTGTGCGTGTTCCCCTTGTGTTAAATAGACTGTCTTTATCTACCCTATCAATCCCCTTCAGAATCTTGAATGTGGTGATCATTTCCCCCCTAACTCTTCTGTCTTCCAGCGAAGTGAGGTTTAATTCCCGTAGTCTCTCCTCGTAGCTCATACCTCTCAGCTCGGGTACTAGTCTGGTGGCAAACCTTTGAACCTTTTCCAGTTTAGTCTTATCCTTGACTAGATATGGACTCCATGCTGGGGCTGCATACTCCAGGATTGGCCTGACATATGTGGTATACAAAGTTCTGAATGATTCTTTACACAAGTTTCTGAATGCCGTTCGTATGTTGGCCAGCCTGGCATATGCCGCTGATGTTATCCGCTTGATATGTGCTGCAGGAGACAGGTCTGGCGTGATATCAACCCCCAAGTCTTTTTCCTTCTCTGACTCCTGAAGAATTTCCTCTCCCAGATGATACCTTGTATCTGGCCTCCTGCTCCCTACACCTATCTTCATTACATTACATTTGGTTGGGTTAAACTCTAACAACCATTTGTTCGACCATTCCTTCAGCTTGTCTAGGTCTTCTTGAAGCCTCAAACAGTCCTCTTCTGTTTTAATCCTTCTCATAATTTTAGCATCGTCCGCAAACATTGAGAGAAATGAATCGATACCCTCCGGGAGATCATTTACATATATCAGAAACAAGATAGGACCGAGTACAGAGCCCTGTGGGACTCCACTGGTGACTTCACGCCAATCGGAGGTCTCACCCCTCACCGTAACTCTCTGCTTCCTATTGCTTAGATACTCCCTTATCCACTGGAGCACCTTACCAGCTACACCTGCCTGTCTCTCCAGCTTATGTACCAGCCTCTTATGCGGTACTGTGTCAAAGGCTTTCCGACAATCCAAGAAAATGCAGTCCGCCCAGCCCTCTCTTTCTTGCTTAATCTGTGTCACCTGACATATATGTGTGTATATGTCACA